GCAGAGTGAATGCGGCGCTGTCGAGGAGAGGAGGGGATGGATGGCGTTCAGAGTTGCAGCAGTTCAACTGGGACAATATCGATGTACGTTCTCTCGAAACAAGGGCGTATGTAGGGACAGATATATGGAAATCTAAAAACGATCGAGAGCTGTTTCACCAGCATGAGAATGCAATAAGATGATGCACGCACCGAGGCCCTGGCCAATGGTGGCCCGAGCTTGGACCCTGGTCTTATGTCTAATCCGTGGCTGCCATTCATATGCACATGCTCCATGCACACATATGATGATCGGAACTCAAGGTTGACTAAATTCATTCGTGTGTAGATACTATAGTGAAAGCAAACAACATTATATATTATTTAGAGATGATCAATGTCGCGTCTCCCCTTCCCAACGACATTCACATAACAGGCGTCTGGTTCCCATTTGAGTACTTTCCAGCATAAATGGTCATCAGCGCATCTCTGACTTCAAATTCCTCCAGGACAGCGCCAAAGCTATCCATTGACCATGTCAGCAGCTTCGCATAAAAAGAACACATGAAGCGAACTTACCCGTAACATCGCACTTTAGCGAGCAGATTGTCCTTGATGAACCCAACATCCTCCTTGGACAACTCAGCAAATCTTTCGTCCTGGAGTATCTTAGCCCAAGCCATAATTGGCGTAATCTCCCCATCAAGGGGCAGACGATTGCTGAGATCGAGCAACTTCAGGAGATCGGGCATTGTGACGTCCGGCATCTGATGCGGGTATTTCTCCTCAGGACAATTCGCGATATGCGCATCAGGTGGCGCCGTTGCCATGAGCGCATGCCCGCTGATTGTTTCGTCGGTGTCGTGGGCGCGTACCATCAGAAACTGCATGTGGTCCATACAGGGCCGTTCGAGGCTGTTAGACACAAGAGTCAGAACAGAGCGTGTAAGATAAAAGAGATGTGACAAGACGTACACAAGTAGCAAAAAAAGGAAGCAAGAAGAGGTGAATGAAGGCATTATTGTTGAGGTGGAGGAGAAAGATAGGGCGTTCGGTCGTACGTTAAAACGAAGTCTATCCCAAGTTGATCATAGTCCAATCCGTTTGGCTGATGCGGATCCCTTTGGTGGACTTGCTGTTGCATGGTCAGAGGCTGTTGACCCATGCTATCCTGTGATATTGAACCATGATGCTGAACGCTCGGCGGCGAAGTGTAACCAGTGGATGCTGAGCCAGGTCCATAACCAGATACGCTACCAGTTGAGCTCCCATAGTTCGAGCTACCAACAGGCCCCATGCCGTTCGTCGGGGCGAGTAAATCAAGCGAGATGCCATGAGATATTAGTAGCTCCCTTAATTTTCGATTCTCCTCGGCGAAAGCATCGCGTTCCCTTGCCGTTGCGGCGAAAGTATCCTTGAGACGAAGTACTTCCTGTTCAAGAGCCTTGATATACAATTCTTTTCGCTCTCGATGCGTTCTAAATTAAATTAGTCTAGGATGAAGCTTTCCGTTCCGGTGCCATCACCTTTGTGCTTGTCGATTCAACTCTTGCCGCCGCGTCAAGGCTGGCTTGCTGTCAGGTTTAGGACCACGTCTCTTCGGCGCTGTGCCATCTATCATTCGTCAACACCCTGCGACGATCAAGCATTAATCCCTTCATAATACCTCTTGCTGTTTTCTTTTCGGTTAAGCTCTTGAAAAAACCAAACTGTGCTAGTGGGCTTTTTGATTCGCTGCCTATTGATTGCCATTGCCCTGTACTCTCCAGTTCTGACACGAAGCCACCCAAGCTACCCCTTCGGCTGCTCCCCATGCTCACTTCAGAAAAGCATTCTGATGGTCGACGGGAAGCAGCTGGAGAAGGGCAGTCGGGGCCAGCGCCGACTGGAGGGTATGTGGGCGCCATAGTCAGTATACGCGCGTCAGGCCATGACATGTAGCGATGATGAGACATGATTGGGTGTGGGAAAGAGATGAAAGGATTAAAGGTAAGGGTGTAGAACAAGTGTATGTCTGTGGAAAGCTCAGGCAAGATCAGAGTACCGCAAGGCTATGCATATGTAGTAGACTGCGAGGTCTGTGTTGGCCAACGGTTCGCATGCTTCCATGTCGATCATGCATCGGTATCGACGACGACCGGGAGGCCCATTGCCCGTAGCGTATGGACAAATCGGACATGCCAATCTCGTCAAAGCCTGTCACCGACGAGACTCATCGTGTCTCCGCAGTGTGCTTGCAGATACATAAGATAATAGGCACAAGCAGCATAAATGTAAAAGGACGAATGATGGGAGGTTTGCCTGATGCCAAGCACAAACGTGGGCATCGCGCGGCGAAGACAAAACGACTTCAACATCAAACGCAAAGCGATCAAAGCATTAAGAGAGGCCAAGAAAATCTCGGAAACTCACCACTTCGCTCATGATGGTCGCTGTCGCCAATCGAAGGGTCGGTCTTGATGGCCGCCATGCTGCTGCAGCGTCGATTGATGTGTGGCCCTGATATCGTGAAAGCCTCTCCCCCCCCTGCAGCGCCTCGTAATGATGGTGATTTGACACTAGGTTTACACAGCACTAGAGACTCGTAAATGGTTGTTCGACCCCTGTTGCGCATCCAAAACGTACAACGCTGGGGTAGATCCCCCTTGCTGAGACAACGAACTCCGGAGTGGCTCAGTGACAGATGTTCGGGGGTTGGAAGCTATGGGTAGTGACGATTGGGCGGGGCGCGAATGTTTTTCTTGCAAAAGATGTGAAGCAACGAACGCCTCCTGGCACTGTGGGGGTGGGGGTGGGTACGGTAGTGGTGAGAAGAAGCACGTGGAGGTAAAGGTCGTTGGAATTGCGACGTGAGATGGTTCAGGTGTCATATGTAGTATGTAGTACCAGTACGGGTCCCAGCCAAGGGCGGGCAGGTCTGTGTACAAGGGCACCAAGGTTAGTACGTAGCTCGGAGCAGCTCTTACACTTGCAGTGAGACGTGCAACACAAATCCAGCTGCGACTGGGCCCGGAAGCCATGCGCAGCAAATCCTAGGCAGGCCATTCGGCGAGGCCTGCATAGCCTGGCCCTGAGATTTGGAATTGGGCGACCTGAACGTTGGACGCACAAAGACGCCAATGCGCGGAACGAGCCGGACAAGCTTCTACTACGATGAAAGCGAGTGCAGCGCGAAGGAGTTTTCGCCCCCGTTGCCGTTAGGCTGGACAGTGTGTGGCTCCTCGCAGTGTTCTAGATCTCTCGACCTGGCGCAGGTGGTTGCAATGCCAAATCAAATACTGAGAAGAAGAAAGAAGAAGAAGAAGAAGAAGAAGAAGAAGAAGAAGAAGAAGAAGAAGAAGAAGAAGAAGAAGAAGAAGAAGAAGAAGAAGAAGAAGAAGAAGAAGAAGAAGAAGGCACAGCGTGTAGTAGCTACCGATTATTTTCAAGATGGACAGGATAGACTGCCGACATTGTTCAAACGCTGAACGGAGAGGCAAGAGACGAGTGGTCGGATTGCAGGCCACGGCGAGTGGTGGCATGTCATATGACCATGGGTTTAGCGTCGGGCGACTTGGGCTTTACTCCGAGTGGTTAGAATATCCCTGTAGGTTCAAGTCCACGTCACAGCGGCAAATTTTTATAGTTATATAAACTAGCCTATAGTTAAGTATAAATTAGAGTAATTTAAGCAAGTAAATATAGTTTTTATTACTATCTTTTTTAAATATATTCTAAACCTATTCTTAATAATATATAGGCGTTCCTAAATACTATACTAGAGTTTAGTATAGTAGTACTAGATAATATATCTAAACTAGATAGTAATATTAGAGATAAATTTAGGCAACTATATAAAGTGCTAGAGGAGGATAGTAGTAGTAGTGTTAAGAAAGTAAGTAAAAGTAAATAGAATAAGTTTAGAACAGGTTAGTAACATATTATAGGGGCATAATATATACCTTACTTATAGTAATAGTTAAGGACTACTACTTACACTAGTAATTATTAAGTATATAGCTATTCTCCTAGCATACCCTTAATTATATAGCTAAGGGTATAGGTATATAATACTAGTTTAGTAATATAAAGATAGCTCTTACCTAATAAGAGAAGAGGTGCTTATATAGGCTATATAGGTAACATGTTAAGAACACGTTCTTAAATTGTTCTAATTCTAGCAGGTATAATACTCCTGCTAGTCTGTCTATCTTAACAGGCCTATAACTTTACTATTCTTTAATAGCTAGCTAGCAAGCTAGTATAAATACTAATACTCTAGGGTAAAAGCATGTAAGTATCTTAAGAACATATTATAAACGTGTTCTTATTATATTATTAATAATATATTATATAATTAGATCTAAACCTTAAAAAGTATAGTACCTAAGAAAATTCTATAAAGAGAACTATAAATAAGAAGCTATTATTATAGCCTTATTAAGCGCTTCTCTTTAAGGATTTATAAGGACTACTAGGTATCTTATTATCCTATAATAAGGACTATAGTAAATTAAGTAGGGAGCAAAACTTAAACATATTTAAAATATATTAATAATAAGTTAGTAAATTATAGAATAGGCTTAACTATATATTAGCTATTAGAACTATAGCCTAATATCTACTACTAGGAAAAAATATTATTTTAGTTAGGTACTACTAGAGGTAGACTCTATATATCTACAAGGTCTTCTAACTAGGGAGATATTAAATCTTTCTAGTAGTCCTACTTTATATTCTATAGTTAAGCTATAGTTAAGCTAGATAAAGAAGTGTAGTAGGTATATTGTAACCTATTCCTAACACGTTCCTAACATGTTCTAGGCGTTAATTATCTATAAGGGTAAGGATCTCTGTTTAAAATCCTATATAAAGTTACCTTCTAAGTAATTATACTAATAGATATAGTAGTAATACCTTTTTTTGCTATTATTTCTTTTAGTATACATATATATATACCTCCTCCTCCCTTAACACTATCTAATAGTAATATTAAGGAAGTAGTAAAGGTATTATAGCCTATGCTTACTCTATAGCTTATATAATATAAGTTATTTGCAACCTATTATAAACATGTTCCTAACTTATTATAGCCTAGTTCTTAAACTTAACCTAGCTCTAAACCTATCTCTAACTTAAAGGTTTCTATTCTATTAAAGAAATATATATTAGCTTTATAAATAAAGATAAAATCTTGCGTATTATAAAGCGTGAAAAGCTTCTATAGTTCCTATTTAAGAGTAGCCTTAGAGGAGTACACTATAAGTAGAGGATAAAGCATTAGGATCCTAAAACTATACGTGGTATAAGAGAATAGGTTTAGAACACGTTGCTAACACGTTACTATAGGCGTATATACAGCAAATCTTTATATTAAGCTTAGGTAACTTAATTATTTACCTTTTTAAAGAGCAGGCATTAATTCTATTAGATTAAGACATATTCTAGATAGATATATTATATAAGAGGTTATATAGGGTATAGGTAGAGATTCTAATAGTAATCTTCTACCTATAGGAAAAGAAGCGTACGTATTAAGAATAGGTTTGTAACACGTTTCTAATATATTATAGTTATTACACTTAGCTAAATTATTATAGATAAGGATATAACTAAGATATATTAAGTTACTATTACTAACTTCTTTTAGAAGTATAAAGCACTTATAAAAAGATAAGTATTATAGAGGTATATTTACTTATAGGGATTCTATAGGACTACTATTAATATGTGTAACAAGTAGATAATAGGTAAGTTTTATAGCGCACTGCAATATGTTTATAACATGTTTCTAACTTGTTTCTAGGACTTAGGCGCTATCTCTAGTTAATTAATCCCTATAAGCGTAACTAGCGCTAGCAACTTTAATCTTATATAAGATTTTATTAAGTATATCTATAAAGAAGTATTTACAAAGTATATAAAAGAGAGCTAGATAATACTACCTCTTTACGTCTAAGTGAATTACTATAGGTATTAATAGTAGAGGAATACTTTTAGCTTGCTAACCTCCTCTTATATAAGTAAATATATTCTAAACCTATTCTAAATATATTCCTAACTTGTTCTTATATAATTAGAATATAAACCCTCTAAAGATACCTAAAACTAGGTAATCTATAAGAAAAACCTAGTAATTACTACTAGGATTATACAATACTATAGTAAAATATTAAAAGAGGTATAGGAAAAACTAGAATCTTATTTAAATATAGCTAAGCAAGCAGGCTAGAAAGGATATAAAACTAGTAAGCATATAAGTATTCTTAAGGCTACTTAGAAGTAAGTTTATAACCTATTCTTAACCTGTTAGAATTATATAAGTAACATCGTGTAGTGTATACTAGATAGATCTGTAGGATATAAAAGAGTTTAAAGCCTAGAGCAAGTTTAGAATACGCTATAACTATAGAACTTCTAATAGGCTTAAGCAAAGGTACCTTAAAAAGCTTTAAAGGGGAGAAAGTAAGTCTTACGCTAGCGTTATATATATTTACTAATTAAAACATGTTTAGAATATATTTAGAACACGTCCTATAATAATAATAATACTCTAGATAATAATAAAGTAAGTCTTGCTATATCTAACTTAACTAGATATATCTTAGTCCTAATAAGAAATAAAAGAGCACGCTTAAAAGCCTAAAGCTAGAGGGCAAGTAGTAGAGTAGTATTAGAAAGAAGTTCACTAGCCCCTTTTCTATCTTCTCTACTACTAGGCTCTTCTCCTCTACTAATAGCAACCTAAAGGTATGCTTTGCAAAACACGTTTACAACACGTTCCTAACTTATTATTAGTCTATAACTATAAACTTTATAATAAAAGGCTCTTCTTAGTAATTAGGCTCTAAAGGAGAGAAAAGAAAAGCTAGAGGTAGATAAGGAAGAACTTGTATAGAAAAAGGCACTATTTAAATTATAAAAGGCACAGTTTAAACTTAAGAAAGAGATAGCTACTTTTTATATAAGGTAGGGTTAGTCTATAAATATAGTAACTAGTTCCTAACTAGTTCTTAATATATTCTAGTCTATTATATAAGTATATATAAGCAGATAAATATATATTCTTTCTTCTTCTCTTTCTTCTTCTTTCTTCTTATACTCTATAAGAACTTTTTATATTTAAGAGTTTAATACTATTTTACTATCTATCTTTCCTAATATTATTAGATATAACTAGTTAATATAGTCTATAAAGATCTTTTAAAGTTAGTATATAATAGAATGCGTTAGGAACATGTTATAAACTTGTTCTAATACTAAGTAGGATTTATACTAGTAATATATTAAGCTTAAGTTACTTCTATCTAATACTAGGGTATTCTCTCCTGTAATATCCTACCTAAATAATAGGTGTATAGTATTTCCTAGCAAGCTTTTCTACTAGGCTATTTAGGCTAGATTAGGGGTATAGGAACTTTATAGAGTATATATACATATAAGTTAGAACATGTTTATAATATATTAATAACTATTTTAGTGTTACTTCTCTAATAGAGGTAATCTTATCTACTACCTTAAGAGGTATTATCCTAAGGTTTAAATAGCCCTAGTAAACTATAGTAGAACCATAATACAAGGCATTGCAGAAGCAAGGATCTTCTATAGGAGCTTAATAGTAAATGCTTAAGAATATGTTCTAAACACGTTAATAATATATTCTCTACTAGTAGAGTAGACTATACTAAGTGCCTCCTCTAAGGTTTAAGAACCCTCTAAGATAGCTAGTCTATAACAAGAAGTAGTAGCTAGAGTAGAGGCTAAAGAGGAAGTAGAGAGTAAAGAAGAGAAGTAAATAGTTGCTCCCCTTTACACTATAAATAATATTTAGCAAAAGTAGTAAAAAGGAGATATAAGTCTAGTCTCTTAAAATATATTTAGAATATATTAATAATACGTTATAGCTAGATACCTATAAATACTAGATTCTTCTTTAATCTAAGGGACTGCTAGAGCTTTATAATACCTATAAAAGTTAAAAGAAAAAGTTATATACTATTAAAGGACCCTATAAAAGTAAATAGTACTTTACTTTTAGTAGATAGAAAAAAAAAGAGAAGAGTAGAGAGTTTATTTTAGTAATTACTACTACCCCTTTAGGTTATATACTATTATATATTATTTATTAGAACCTGTTCTTAATATATTCTTAACGTGTTCCTACTTATTACTATTATTATCTCCCTCCCCCTCTCTAGTATCTTCTCTATCCTCCCTATCCTCCCTAGGCTCTATAAAAGTATACCGCAAGTAGAACTAGGTAGTATTCTAGTAGGAATTAGCAAGGTCTATACTAGTATTAAAGTAATAGTCTTAAAATATATTAGGAATAGGTTAATAATATATTATAAACAACTTACTATAGCTAGGATAATTATAAGCGCAGATAGTATAAGGAACCTAATAACCTTAAATCCTTAGTAGGGTAGATATAGCAACAAAGTTAAGCTATAACAAGTTAGCAACGTGTTTTTAATAGGTTCTTGCAGGCTATACCTTATTACTATTATAGCTACTACAAGTCTTCTTCTAAATTATATTTAGGAGGGTATTAGTATTTATAGGGGGGCCTATAATAGCTACTAGCTAGGCTTAGAGAACTTCTATAAAATATATTAGTAATAAGTTTTAAATATATTCTAAATAACTTATAGTAAGGAGTATTCTAGTAATTATATATAACCTTTATATAGAAGTCTATATATATTAGTATAATAAGTTAAGAATAGGTTAATAATATATTTACTCTTTACCTTATAGACCTCTATTATAGAGGGCTAGCTAGTCTTCTTAACCCTACTAACCTTATAGTAGGCTATATTAAGCCTATAATCTTTTTTAGTATAAGTATATAAAGTGCCCCTAGTACCTAGAATAGCCTAAGAATATTAGAACCTATTTAGAATATATTTAGAACCTATTCTTACTCTATATAAGGTGCCCTTGTTATTAATCTTAGTATAGTAGTAGCGCTCTCTACTCTCTATCTTAACTACCCTATTAGGGCTAACTATAGGCTATACCCTAATATTATCTAGGATATAGCTAAGGGCAAGGTACTATTAATAGTGCTTCTATAACCTATTAAGAACATGTTCTAAACACGTTTTAATCTACTTATATAGGATAAGAGGGATATATTAGTAATAGGTATAGTAGTAGCAGCTTATAGTATTACTAGTATAGAATATATTTAGAATAGGTTTAGAATATGTTGCAAAATCTTATAGTATAATATTTAGTTAACCTCGCTTAGCTAGCTAGTAGAGCTTAGCACGGCCTAACCCCATGCTAAATACAAGTTCACGCAGCGCTAATTCCATGGTTATATAAACTGCGCCCTCCCACGGCGATGGCAACCAAATGTCATGGTAGGCCTCGGGGAAATCCATTCAATAGATGCGCACTGCATTCATGAGCTGATCTACTGCAGGGCTTACCCTCGTCAATGCCGCCGTGTTGTACCGTGCGCATGCATTCTTCAGATCGGCCAATCATGCACATGATTCGTGGATGTTACCCCAAAGGGCATCTTCATTGGCATCTCTTACTACTAGAGTACCAACCTTGAAGCAACCCTTTTGGCCTCGATCACGGGACTATGGCACTCCCTCTTGTACCCATCCATGAATACCCACCACTCTCTGCTACTCAGCTCTCTGCCAACTAAAAAAACACAACTCCAGTCCAAGTGGGTAAGAGACTCCAAAGTAACGATGAGCACACGTTGCACGACTTTACTCCTACGAGCTCAAAGTTTGTTTCTTCGCGCTCTCTGGGCTGAGGATGTTGCATGACGTCTACACATACCTACTTTAGTGTCCTATCGACGATCACAGCTTAGTGCTGCACCTTGGTGATGGCAGGATGTTCTTTGCATCAAGTGCACGTACTCTACAAGTTCACGTACTCTACAAATTCATATGGCAAATGGCATCGAAACTGTCTGTCTGCCGCGGTAGGATACATGAGCAATCTTCCGCTGGCACATACACATGCCCTAGATTTGGTATACCTGACTACTCTCTCTCTCTCTCTATACATCACGGCTTGTTTCCAAGAATACCCTCGATCTCGTTCATTATCTCTGGAGTCAGCTTCGAGAGCAGCTTCATCGCGCCGCAATTGTCCACAACCTGCTGTGGCTTTGTAGCGCCCAGAATAACCGTGCTGACATTCGGATTCTTTGCGCACCATGCCAGGGCAAGCTGAGTGGTAGTCCCTCCCAGCTTTTCGGCGATCTTGGTCAATTCTTTGACCTTCTTGATCTTGCTTTGTCCCTCCTCTGTCTTCAGACTATCGATGTTGTTCTTCATCATGTCTGGATTCTTGGCGAAACGACTGTCTTCAGGAATACCATCATTGTACTTTCCTGTGAGCAGGCCTGAGGCCAATGGCGACCACTGAAAAGCTCCAGTCAGCCCACTTCTCCGTGAAATGATTTTATAAGAACTTACTATAGTTGTTCCGTAGTTGAGCTTCTCGTACAGAGGCTTGTATTCCTTTTCGAATCGCTCACGATGGAAGGCGTTGTACTGCGGCTGTTCGGCGACAGGAGCAATTAGATTGTACTTTTCGGCAATCTCGGTGGCTTCTTGAATCTGTGCCGCGCTCCACTCCGAGGTACCCCAGTAGTAGGCGAGGTTCATGTGAATTGTCTGTGTGAAGGCTTCTACAATCTCCAGCATCGGAACACTGGTGTATCGTCAGGAGCAGTCCTATTTCTCGAACCTGCGCAGAAGACTTACTCTGGGTCATAGCGGTGGGCGAAGACGATATCCACGTAGGGTGTCCCCAACCGTGCCAATGAGCTTTTCAAGCCTTCAACGATGTGCTTCTTCGACAAGCCCCTGGTGTTTGGCTCTTTTCTCTTGGTACCAAAGAAGATCTGGACCCAACATTCAGCTCCATGTTGTATGATGGCTAGGACTCAAACATCATACCTTGGTGGACAAGACATACTCATCACGTGGCCAGTCCAACTCCTTGAGTGCCTGACCCATCTCAATTTCGCAATCACCAGCGGCATATGCCTCTGCTGTATCGAAGAAATTGATGCCATGGTCCCAAGCTGCCTGCATACATTCTTTCACAATGGAGCCCTTTTGAGTTCCGCCGTAGGTCAGCCACCCTCCCAATGAGAGGACTGACACTTTGAGGCCGGAGCCCAGTTTTCGGAACTCCATGTCCTTTGGATCGAATTTTGAAGCTGGCGGCATTTTGGGCGTTGATTTCCTGCAATTGAACTTACTAGACGTCTCACCTTGAAGCAGACTTGTTGTTCAGAATATAAAAGTTTGTGTTGGATGAGGGGCAAATGTCAGGCTCCTTTTGGTGGGGCAATGTGAAAGGACGTAGAATGATGATGTAACGCAATTACGCATGAGGAAGGAGCGGAAATAAGCAGCGGAATTCCGCGGCTCTCAAGTCTCACAGCCGGACCATTCAAAGCCAGCGCGGCATTCACCGTCCGGCTTTCTCAAAGGGGCGGGCGGCTCAGGCAAACGGTGAACGACTCCTCCACCAACATCATCACCGAATCACAGCTACAGACGAGCGCTACCATGCGAGGATGCCAAATGACCGTAAGCTGAAGTCGCCCTCGTTCAAAGCTTCTCCTCGTGTTGAATGGATTGTGTTGGCAAAAGCTTAGCTGCCTAATCACGGTCCCTTCAGCCATGTGTTTCATGTCTCGAAACATGTACTTCCTAGAACACATCCGAACCCAATCACACTCACGAAGCACGACATCATGTGCTTCCATCCAACTTTCAGCGCAAAAAGCACTGGTAGGAATGCCCTGTCGCGAAATTTACCCCTGATCGTGCTTATGAGGCACTGTCTACAGGATAGGAATGCACAGTGTCTGCGCCCATGCCACGACCAGATTCCTTTATTATATCAGACCGCTTCGAACACTGCATTTGAATCCTACAGTCACCCCCAAATTCACAGCGTCTCCTTGTCAATTGTTCTTACTGATCCAAGGTCTTTGCTCAAGTCGTTCACTTCATTCTCTTCACTTCACAAACACTTTGGTACAAAATAACTTCATTTCTTCTTCGCGACTCTCTCTCCACTCATTCGAATTACAACTCGAGATTGAAAGACACACGCCGCTATCATGGGTATCAAGCGTAACATCCTCTTTGCAAGCGCTCTTGCATTCTCAGTCTTTGCAGCACCTGTTCCAGACTGCTCAGAGGAACAAGGCAATAGTACCAACAAGGCACTGTTGTCTGCAGCGAAAATCGAAATCATCGAACCGACCACTGCAACATGTGACGCTGCTCCCTTTCCCGAAGAGTGCGCCGACTCAAAGACAGCCGCAGCCGCACTCAACGGCTCTTTTGAGAAATACAAGATCACCGCCGTCGGCGAGGTTGCGGCCCTGGTGGCGTACACTCTCTTCGAGTCGGGCAACTACAAGTACAAGCAGAATCACTATCCAGGACGTCCTGGCCAAGGTACACGAATGAGTGAGTTTGCCTATCCTTGTTGTAATTTGACTCAGGTAATAACTGTGCAATAGTGGCCATGCCAAACTATGTCAACGAATACACGACCACTGTTGCAGGTGCGGACGCTGTCGCACAGGCAGAAGCTGCAGGTGGAGATGCTGGTCTCGTCGCTGTGCTAGCACTGGCGAACGCTGACGATCAGAAGAGCTTTGGAAGTGCTGCCTGGTATTTAACCACAAAATGCACGCCTAAAGTCCGCGCTGGCTTGGTCGCAGAGACGGTCGATGGTTGGCACAACTTCTTGACCCAGTGTATTGGTACTACTGCTGCTGCTGAACGCGATCCAGCCTGGATTGCTGCGAAGCAAGCTTTGTCGCAATAAGCCCAGGCCGTTCATATCTGATATCTTGATGTGAGCATGGCATACGTGCCGGAGTACCTTTCCTGTAGGATATATTTGGTTGGCGAGAACATTTGGATGGTATTTCCTTGATGACAATGTATTTGAAAATCACAATTGATTGGGCGCGTCCAAGGTTTTAAATTCGTTCAGCTTCTGCCTCCGTACGGTATGTCCAGCGAGCGGAGGCTGTGTAGCACTTGCCCTTTCTGATCGCATGCATATATCAGGCAGCCACGATGCTTCGCTCTCCCACATCGCCACCTCTAGGTGACTTTCGAGACGATCGAATGGTCTGCTAATTGAAGCTATGGGTTCGAAGGCTCTTGTATCTGCCACGCCATATGTCTACAAGTCGTTACCAAATCGACGTCACATACGACTTTTGAAAATCTCGTACTGCGCGGCGGATGAGGAACATCATTCACGGCCCTTGTACAGCCTCAACTCTGTAGAACTGCCTCCCGGCGACACACAGCTCGACTTTGAAGCAATTTCATATGCGTGGGGCATATCAGACCGTCTTTTCAGTGTTCCTATCGACAATGGAGTCGGACATATTGGTCTCACAGCCAACCTGGCAGAAGCTCTGCCCCACATCATCAAACATTCGGCCACAAAGTGCCTGTGGATCGATCAGCTATGTATCAATCAAGAAGATGGCACCGAGAAGTCCATTCAATTAGGACTCATGTCCGAGATCTACAAAAGAGCTACTCGTACAATTGTCTGGCTGGGCCAAGAGGACGAAAACAGCCGACTCTGCAAGCAATGGCTTGAAGCTGTCGATGAGCTGATACCGAAACTCAATTTGAAGAAGCTAGTGAAGATCGGGAGTCCAGAATATGACTCTAATATCCGGAAAGTAGTACTCATGGATACTTTCACGAGCTCTGACGCAAGCTCCGCCTGGATTCCTGCGATTGGTAGATTTTGGAGTCGACCGTGGTTTCGAAGGGGATGGGTGGTGCAGGAAATGATACTTGCGAGGGAGTTGTTGTATCTGACTGGTGATATCGTGTTCAGTTTGCAAGATCTCGAAGATCTGTTCACTACGCCTATGGATAGGTTCAAAGAATATCCAGATCTCAAGGCTGATATCGATAATGGCATCTTGAGTTATCGAGTACTAATGCAGCTCAAGACAGATCCTTTCACGACCACGCCGGAGCCACGTAAGTTTCTCCGTACAATGGCAGCAGTGGGTGATGAGTTCAAGACAAAAGAGCCATGTGATCGTCTATACGGTTTCCTAGGCCTCATCGAAGGACTTGACTTTGTTCCAGACTATAACTCGTCTATAAAGGAGAATTTCACCCGCTTCGCAACTACCATTGCCCGCCAATATGGCTCCCTCGACTTCCTTTCCCTCTGGTCCGCAAACCTAGACCCCCGCCTTCCAAACACACACCCCGATTTTCTCGACTTTCCTTCCTGGGTCCCCTCATTCACCGCAACACCCCTTTGTGCACCCTGGCGTCTCGCAGTCGGAGGCGTACGCTCATGGGGCACGAATATAAGTTGGAACGCAGCAGCCGGGCGTCTTCACAACCACAACGCAACTCCATACACACCGACGACCAAACGTCTCCATGTTCGCGGCCAAATCATCGATCACATCTCCTTCCTAAGCACTACTCGCTTTGCAAAGTGGTTCGACGTGGACACTTCTTATCTCGTGTCTCTTACCTCGCAGCTCCAATCTGACATCCCAGGCCTCGACCGCTGGACCTACATTGACCTCATCCACTTTCTCAACACCGCAGCTTCAAACGGAACCGCCCCTCGAGAAACCGCAGAGCAGATCCTCGGTCTCGCACCCGCTGTGCTCCCGGATTCCGAGCGGCATTTGCTTTTGCACGAGAATGCGGTCGGTGCGTGTTTGATGATGGGGCGTGGGCGTAAGTTTATGAGGACGGAGGGGGGGAGATTGGGTTTGGCGCCTTGGATGGATTCGAGGGCCAGGGTTGGTACGGAGATTGGCAGTGTGATTGTGGTTTTGCACGGGTGTTGTGTGCCGATTATTCTAGAGCGGGTTGTCGAAGATGACGATGATGAAGACAATAAGGATGATAAAAGAGGAGAGGGAAAGCAGGGGCAGTGGAAGGTGATTGGCGATTGCTACATCGAGGGCGTGATGTTTGGAGAGGATGTCATGTGGGAAGAAGAGGATGCAAAGGAATTTATACTTATTTGACAGCTAGTTCATGATATCTGGAGTTCTACGGTTGTGGAATTTACAAGTTAAGATTATGACTATGAATCATTGCTGAAGGGTGTCATGTAGACAGACTGACGGCTCGTATAGGATGCCAATTTGTGTATGCTTCCATCGCGTCGTACATTCCAATCTTTCCTTTTGCTGCATCGTTTCTTGATGGCGCGATGCTCTTCATTCGCTTCTTTCAGCCTGCTCTTCCGCCAGATGCCTAATCCGTTGACCTCTGCTTGGTGTTTCAACGCCATGCCCCCCCCCCCCCCCTCCGGGACCACGGGGTACCTACACTACAGCTTGCACTGCCCTCTCGCGAAACCATCGCCATTCTATGACGCACAAGACCCAGACGTACTAAAGCCATTCCGCAAGAGCGCCGACTTCCCATCAACAAACATGTCGATACAATCTGACTATACATTACTAGATTCCCAATAACCATTGACACCAGTCATCCACCTCAGCGCATATACCTCCCCGTATCCACAAAAGCCCCAACATCCTCCGCACTCATCGCCTCTCCGCACTCGGGACACGCACAACGATCCCAGCCCTGTGTATGCGCGAGATTCTGAATCCAGGCCTGCATGCAGCCCAGACAGGTGGCAGGCTCATGCCAGCAGTTTGCCGTGATCCTGCGATCGACAAACTCATACGAGGGCTTGGACGTCTTGCACAGAATACAAGTAGGGTGGGGGATTGGCGTGCCCAGCCGCGAATAGGTTAAACGGGGGCTGGCGGGAGCGGAGTACGTGGCGGGTTGGGGCTGGTGTTGATGGTAGGGATGTGTGGCTGAGCAGGGTGGGGAGGGGAGTACAAGGCTGCTGCGGTGCGAGTACGAGGAGGCGGGGCGGAGTGCTTGTGGTACGACCTCGGCTGATGGGTGGTGGTGCAGCATGGAGTTTCGGTTTGGGGAGAGGGAAGATTGGCCAGAGCTCCGACGTCGGTCTGCGGTTGCAGCTGGGCTGGGCGGTGCGCCGGCGGCCCAGGGTGCGAAGGGGAGGGGCAAAGGAGCCATTTGTTTTGAGCTGCTGATTGTTTGTGGTGCGGACGATGGCTGGCTCATGTTTGTAGGAGAGTATGCTGGGGTGGGGACAAGGTCAACTGCTGAGAGACGGCTCCTTGGAGTACTGGGGATGTGGTTGACTTCCTGTTCGTACCAGGCCAGATTTTCTTCGGTCAGATTCATCTTGTGTGGGTTGTCGACTTTGACCTCGAATGTTGGTCTTTCTTGCATTGCTGCAGACGATCTTCGCCTTGCTGCGAGTTTCTTGAATGTTTGTGGTATGGCCGACCACCTATTCTTTTGCTTCTTTTCCACCTTCACTTCTTCCTCCTGCTCAGTAAACGTTACTGCAGTATGCATTGGAGATGTTGGAAAGGGTGATGATGGTGTGGGTGGTCCAACCTCGTCATCCGCAAATCGATTGTATACCACATCATTCTCCATTTGTTCCCCGGGCACTGCTTTCGCTGAACCAATCGCCTGAGCCGTTGACAAGTTGGGAAAGCTATTATTTCGTAGTCCTCGCGAGGATGCTATCTTGGTGTTGGAGCGATTTTTCTGGTGATACGTCGCGAAAGACGTCGGACGTGGGCGTTGCGCTGCTTGGGGACTACCAAGCGGCTGAGAACTCTGAGGTTGAAATGATACAGGGCGTTCTGCTCGCATGCGTGTGGGAATCTGATTAGTAGGGGCAGCCCATGTCGGCTGTTGGTGCACGATCCTATCAGAATATACGCTACTGGGCGATGAAGCGATGCTCGATGCCGGAATGTGGTCAGGGTGTGACAAGGTTGATTGAGCGGGCGTGTTTGGGCTCATGGTAGACGGTGATGCTGTCCATTCTGGCGACAAGAGATGCTGTGCATTGTAGGAAATAGGCCGTGGGCAATTGAGCGGTTGCGGTCGTTTCTTGGCGAAGGAGGTGTCGAGCAACGTCTTTGGTTCGACCAAGCCCTGGAGGGCTTCCGCTCTAACTGATGTCGGTCGGTTTGGGTTTGTCCAGCGGTCGAGTAGGTCTGCATCATTCTCCTCTTCTTGTTCTTTTACTGCAACCTCTTCTTTACTCGCTTCTTGTACAGGCGAAGACTCCTTTTCGTACTCGTGCACTTTGCCAACCTCCTTTCTTTCTGACTCGACATTGGACTTCTCCAGATGTTCGTACATTGGCCTTTCTAGCCATCTTGTCGTTACAGATTTCTCGCGCTGCAATTCCTTGAAGTTTTCTTCAGAGTCGGCAATCAGCCCTAGCATGCGTTGCGCTTTAGCTGGATCTCTCTTTATCGGTCGGGGGTGTCGAAGGAGTGGATGCACGTCATCTTGAATCCGACTTTGCGCCACAGCCGCCATTACAAAGACGCTCGGATGAAACGCAAAAACTCTTACAGGAGAGCAACCACAACGAAAGAGAGGCGTGAAAAGGCAGAATGGAAAGAGAACAGATGGGGGCACAAGCAGCACGTTGGTTAAATCGGAATGTAGGACCGACCCCCTCGCAACCACGACGTGGGACAGCGTGCACTATCAGCACAGGCAAATACGATGCCGACGGAACCCCGGCCGTGCAACCTCACAGTAGCTCCAAAATGGTCGTTGTTGCGCGACAGTGATCTGCCTGTTTCATAGCCCTTGCAAGAAGGCTTTGCAGCAGCGTGCGCGACCGTTGACTTGCCTCGCGCACTTGTACGCAGCCTCAACCCGTCGTGGAGAAGTGTCTTACGAGTCGCCCATCGACTCTTTGTGGGTGGTTGCCCCGCAAGGTGAGATTCCCACGTCGTATTTTTAGAAGCGATAGGAGGCTTCTGGAGACTTCACTCTGGGCTAGCACGTCCGAGTGGTGGCATGTCATATGACCATGGGTTTAGCGTCGGGCGACTTGGGCTTTACTCCGAGTGGTTAGAATATCCCTGTAGGTTCAAGTCCACGTCACAGCGGCAAATTTTTATAGTTATATAAACTAGCCTATAGTTAAGTATAAATTAGGGTAATTTAAGCAAGTAAACGCAGTTTTTATTACTATCTTTTTTAAATATATTCTAAACCTATTCTTAATAATATATAGGCGTTCCTAAATACTATACTAGAGTTTAGTATAGTAGTACTAGACAACGTATCTAAACTAGATAGTAATATTAAAGATAAATTTAGGCAACTATATAAAGTGCTAAAGGAGGATAGTAGTAGTAGCGTTAAAGAAGTAAGTAAAAGTAAATAGAACAAGTTTAGAATAGGTTAGTAACACGTTATAGGGGCATAATATATACCTTACTTATAGTAATAGTTAAGGACTACTACTTACACTAGTAATTATTAAGTATATAGCTATTCTTCTAGTATACCCTTAATTATATAGCTAAGGGTATAGGTATATAATACTAGTTTAGTAATATAAAGATAGCTCTTACCTAATAAGAGAAGAGGTACTTGTATAGGCTATATTGTGAAGGGCTTAGGCTTATGCCTAAGCCTGGGTCTAACACAAGATGGACCAAGTCTAACACCACTACTAAGCGAACATACTAGACACCCATAAAAAGGCGTAGAGGGCTTACCTCTCCTTTAAGATACTAAATACTATTATTAACGCTCATTGCATTCTCCCTTAAGGCTAGTCTATAACATTTTAGTATCTTCTTCTAAACATACTATAATAGTAATAAGAGATGGACGCACTAGATGTTTAGAATAACTAGGTGCAACCTAATACGGTGGAAAGGCTAATACAACAGGTCTATAGATTAATAGAACAACAGGCTTAAGACTCCGCTATAATAGCTATACTACGTTAATAGAACGAGGAAATACGCAATTAGATTCTATCCTAACCCTCCTCCAAGCCCGCTGGGTTCAATAACATGCTACCTCCGCCCTCTCCTACCTCACGCCGCAAACCTTTCCCAGTTAGCTTGCTATATAATAGCACCAAGGTAAACTTCTCCTCCTAGCGAATAACTATAGAGTTTAAACTGCGTGCAGACGAGGTCTTTATTAGGGATAAGGAGGCAAGGTTTATATACATTTAGTCCTAGTTATCGCCTGTAGTCTAGCGCGCTATAGCACCATACTTTAAGGATAGTGCACGCAAGCGTTAGGATGTAAGCAGGTTTCTTAACTACCTAGCGTTCTATTACAGCAACCATCACGGGCGGGAGCGCGCCTAAGTCGCTTTAGAACACTTACATCAGGGCTAAAATTAGCCTTTTACAGAATTCTTTGTGAATTTTGTGCAGCTCCTTACACAGTTAGGAGGTTTACACTAGGACGACAAATAGAAGCTTTCACAACTTTAGCGATCTCTTAACAGTTGCATGCGCTTAGTTTCCCTTAATAGGGGAGTCTCTAGGACAAACTACAACGCAGCTATAGAGGAATATAAGACAATTGCGGTGGACATTAAAACAGCCTCTCTAGAACTAGGTTTTCTTTAGGCTAGCAAGTCTAAGGAACCCTAGCAGAAGTCTAACTTGGATTAGGACGGCGACACAAACATAGTAGAAGTGGCAGCCTTATTAAGTGCACCCACTAAACCGCCAACATCACGTCCTAACTAGATCCTACAGGACCTGTTTAATGCACGGAAATTAGCAAAGGTCTGCACCTAGTGTGGACAGGGCGGTCATTTTATGCGTGCATGCCCCAATGCCCTATTACTGTAACTAGTAGGTATTAAGACGGTTGCAGCATTAGCAAGCGGCCCTAATTTAGGAAACTAGCCGCCCCTAACCTTAGGCTAAGTTAGGGGTATAAGGAGGATACTGTAATAGAGGAATTATTAATAGTAGAGGCCGTTAAGTGTCCCCTAGATATTAAGGCTAAGTTAAATAATCCTCCTTTCTTTATTCCCCTCCTCCTAGGTGGAGTAGAGAACGTGCAAGCGATGGTTAATTTAGGGTGCCAGTGTTTTAGTGCGGTCAAGGAAAAGTTAGCAAGATAGATTAGTAGGAACTTTATTAACATTCCCCCGCGACCCTTGCAACATACCTAGGGAATTGCTAAGGGTACAAGAATTTTACAGTTAGTAGCATTAGATTATAATTTAGACAGTTAGCGGTCTTAGCTTTTAGCTTATATAGTACCTTGTCTTTCCTATTAACTAATACTAGGCAGGCCATGGCTTTGCAGAGAGGGCGTTGTTATAGACATTCCACGAGGCAAATTAATAATTAGGAAGGCGGGAAATATAGTGGTACAAGAGAGCGGGAGACGCCTGCATCCTACCCGCATCTCTATTATCTTAGGTTTGGTCATGGCAGGGTTGTTAAACCAAGAACCCTAATAGGAAGACACACAGGTACAAATTTTTGCAACTAATATACTAGATATATCACGGGCAACATACGACTTGCGCCTAATAAAACACCTAGGAAGTGTTAACAAGGGAGGTCCTATTAACATACACACTATCTATATTGCTAGTAACACGGTTCCCCACAAACCTAAGCATAAGACTAGAAAGACAAAGTTGCCACTAGAACTACAAGAGTTTAAGGACCTGTTTAACAAAGAGTTAGCAAGCAGTTTACCACCTTATTAAGGCAGTATAGACCACTATGTTCGGTTAACAACTCTCCTAGACAGAACCTAGCCTAACCCCCTATAGGGTCCCCTGTACCCCATGTCGCGTAATTAATTACTAGAACTAAGAACACAACTTACTAGATTAATAGACAAGGGCTAGATCTAAGCAAGCTCTTCTGCAGCTAGAGCTCTAGTGTTGCTAGTAAAGAAGCCGTTAGGTAGTTAGCGTCTGTGTGTGGACTACTAGATGCTTAACAGCATAACAACCTCAGACTAATACCTACTACCACTTATTAAGGAAACTTTACGCACACTGTCTAGCGTAAATTAGTTTACAAAAGTAGATATTCGCGCCGCCTTTTATAAAGTCAGAATAGCAGAAGGTTATAAGTCCTTAACTACTTTCTGCACCTAGTTTAGGTTATATAAATAGTTAGTATGTCCATTTAGTCTTAGTAGTGCGCCATCCACTTTCTAACAATACATTAATGCCGCGCTTGCAGAGTCACTAGGATTGTATACAACAGCCTACCTTAACAATGTCTTAATTTATTTAGGAGGAGACTAGTTTAACTATATAGAAAAAGTAAAGCGTGTACTCACGCTATTAAAAGAAGTAGGACTACACCTAGACTTAGAGAAATGTGCGTTCAGTGTTAAGGAGGTACGCTACCTAGGCTATATCATTAAGGCGGGCAAATCACTTAGACCTAACCCCAAAAAGCTTAGGGCAGTACAGGAATAGGAATCCCCCAGGAATATAAGAGAGGTAAGGAGTTTTCTAGGTTTTGCTAACTTCTACCGTGATTTTATCGCGAAGTTTTCTAAAGTGGCAGCACCTTTAAACTAACTAACTAGGAAGAATACCCTATTCTAATAGGGAGAGGAGGAACAAAGTGCATTTAATGCGCTAAAAAAGGCGTTTGTGTTAGGACTAGTATTAACACAATAGGACCTAGCTAGAGAAACGTTATTAGAAGCGGACTATTTAGGATGTGCTCTTAGGGGTTGCTTATCGCAAAAAGTTAGGGGCGTCTAGCGCCTAGTTGCTTACCACTCTGCAGCACTAACGCTAGAGAGATAAAACTACACCATACACAACAAGGAATTGCTTGCTATTGTAGAGTGTCTTAAAAGTTAGTTAGCAGAGTTACAGAGCGTTTATAAGCCATTTACAATATTCACAGACTATAAAAACTTAGAGTACTTTACTAGCCTTTAAAGCTTAAGCGAGCAATAGTGCCGCTAGGCAGAGGAACTTTCTAAATATCAGTACATCCTACAGTACAGGCCTAGCTATCTTGCAGGACAACCTAATACCTTAAGTAGACAACTATAAGATTTAAACTCCTCTAAAGCAACACTACAGTTAGTAATGCGCCCTAAATCAATTTAGGTTACAGTATTAGAAGCGGAGGAGGCGTCCAAGTTACCAAAGGGCGCTAGCCTCTTTGCCGACCTGCACATGCAGACACTATAGGACAAAGCGGTACTAGAAGATAAGACATACCAAGTACGTCTTAATGCGGTTTAGAAAGGCGCTAGGTCTTTCCTAGTTTTAGCCAACACAAAGCAACAGATTAGGGACTATACAATTAGCGCACACGGCACTTTGCTCTAGAGGGGTGTTATTTAGTTACTAACATAGGAACCCCTTACAACCACTATTATACAGCGAGCACATAAATTAGGTTTAGCAGGACATCTAGGAAAGAACACAACATTTCAAATACTGCGCCGCGACTATTATTAGGATAGAATGTTAGGAGACGTTGCGCAGTATATTCAAAACTGCCATTATTACGGTGCTTACATCTCCTAGAAGCGCTAAC